AGTTACTTTTAGGCCCTTTTTATGGTTTGTTTTCTTCAAGAAATACCATGGGTAATAGAAAATAATTCAATTTATTTCAATTCAGTCTATTGATATAGCGCCAAATTACAACAGCAGTCACTTCAAAGTGATTGCTGGGTAAAGGTCCTACAATAATACAGAGAAAACCAGAACAAAAGAACAACACCCTGTTGGCAATGTTGGCAAAGGAAGAACTCGGGGGAAAAAACCTCAGGCAGAACCAGGCTTAGGGAGGGGCATCCATCTACCACAACCAGTTGGGGGTAAGGGGAGCGAGACAGGGGAAAAAGACACACTGTGGAAGTAAACCAGAGATTAATAGTAATTGATGACTAAATGCAGAGTGATGTATTAAAATATAGTGAGTTAAGAAGAAATGAGGGATAATTCAGGGTCAACTGATCCATCCCTAATGAAATGCTTTATCAAAAGTCCCTCTCCCTCTTAAAGAGGGTGTGTGTTTCCTAAATCCAAGGTGGGAGCTGATTCCACTGGAGAGAGGCACGAAAACTGAGGGCTCTGTCTCCATTCTACTTTTAAAAAATGATAGGAACCACAAAAACCAGCAGTCTGAGAGTGAAGTGCTCTATTGAGGTGATATGGTACTATAAGGTCTTTAAGATGGGCCCTGATTATTCAACATCTTGTATGTGAGGAGAAGGGTTTTAAAATTGAGTCTGGATATAACAGGGAGCCAATAAAGAGAAGCTAGTACAGGAAAAATAAATCACTTACTGTAAAGACACCATCTGACTCCAGACCATTGTCATGTACATGCGCTTCTAATAATGCTGAGAGATTTGTAAAAAAAAAAAAAAAAAAAATCAGAATCTGAGGCACTCTGCTGAACATATGTAATTACAACATTTCTATATTCCAAGTATCTTTTATGTTTAAAAAAGAAAAAATCTTCAGATTGTTTTATCTTATATGAATGATAAATATAATAAACCGATATTGACCAATGACTGACCTGTCTGTATGGGATTAGTTCAGTCATAAAAATGTGCAAAAACTACAAAAACCTGTAAATAAACAGTAATGACTGCAACAAATAATCACCCAACTGAATGAAATAATTATTTTAAACCATCTGACGTTGTTTTAAAAGCAATAGCGGGTAAATTGTTTGTTACAGGTTACATTTGTGTTCCCCAGTCTGACCTGAGAGCTTATAGGTATTTGAACAGTCACCTGCCAGTTTACTGTGTACACCTTTCTTTGCATTGAAACCCCTTTTAACTGCAGTACTGCCCTAATTATTTATGGCGTAGATTCAACGAGATGCTGGAAACATTGCTCGCAGTTTGCTCCGTACTGACACGATTGTATCATACAATTGCTGCAGATTTTCATCCACAATGCAAATCCTCTATTCCACCACATCCCAAAGGCACTCAATTATGTGGTGAATGGAGGGCATCTGAATACACTGAACCCATTGTCTATAAACCACTTTGAGATGATTGCGCTTCGTGTAGATCAGCAGTATCTCAAATACTCAGACCAGTCCATCTGTCACCAACAACCATGCCACGTTCAAAGTCACAGAAATCACCTCATCATCCTCATTCTGATGCTAAGTTTGAACTTCAGCGAGTCATCTTGACCATTCCTATATGCCTAAATGCCTTGAATTGCTGCCTAGTGATTGATTAGATCTAGGTGTAATCAGCTGTACTTGCTGTTCCAGGTCAGTTCTCGCTGCCCATTGATAAGAGGCAGCTCTATGAATTTGACATCAGGATTCCGCTAATGGTCCGCGGTCCTGGCATAAAAGCCAAGCAGGTGCTGCAGGTCAGAAAAATACTCCACTAAAACACACACTCCAGCTGCTTAAAAGCATATTAATGTCTCTGGAACTGTTTTTTGTTTTTTTGTTTTTTACCTTTTTTTCACCCTCATGATGTTTTTTTTTCTTCCAGGCTCCAGTACTGAATATAGACCTGGCTCCCACCATACTGGACATAGCTGGAGTCAACCTGTCGTCTGTGAATATGGACGGGCAGTCTTTCCTCGCTCAGATGGTCAGCTGCTTCTTTACATTGACTCTCACTTATTTTTCCCACATGCTAAATCTTAACCCAAATTTTATCTTAGGCTCCTTCATTGCGTAATGGCACTGCACGACCATACTTCCTTGTTGAGTACACTGGAGAAGGACAGCCAACATCAGACCCTACTTGCCCTAAATTAGGTCCAGGAGTATCTGTGAGTACCTACAAAAGCAGGCTTCCTATTCTGGTCACCACTGAAAGTAACATGCTTCCAGTTTCCAGTAATATTATAATCTCTGATTGAAAAAGGGGGAAAAAACCTAAAAAAGTTAGTTAAAATAATTCCTTTTTTCTCTTCAGCGTCAAAGTATTATGATCCAAGAAAATGAAGCTGAATACAGTAGAAGTATTTTCTCAGCCTGAGGGAAGACTGGATGCTACTCACTACTTGACTTATAATAGAAGCTAAACTATAGCCTGGCTCTATTGAGCTTCATGATGTCAGTACACAGTAACTGAAATCAGTTAATTGTTCAGATTCTATTAATGGCTTGAGTTAATGGTGCAAATTTGTAAGGAAATTTCCAATAAGTGCCTTTTAATAGCAAAGTCAGAATAGATGGCAATTTTCCTAAATGGAAACAACTGTGGACTAAAGCCTAAAAATAGGGTTCATGTTGCCACAAAACATATTGCTCCTGCTGATTCTGAAAGTTTGTTGCTCTGTTCCCAAGAAACCTTCACTGTAACATTTTTCACTGTCTTTAGCAATGTTTCCCAGACTGTGTTTGTGAAGACGCCTACAACAACACGTACGCCTGTGTCAGAAGTCTGGACAGCAAAATGAACATGCAGTACTGTGAATTTGCAGACAGTGAGGTACACCCGGGACTTTTTTGTGTGGGGGTTTTGTTTTTTGGACACATTTTAGTGAAAGTAGATGTGAAGCTTCTCAGTGTTTTGTTTTGTTTTTTTTACCCCCCAAGTCGTTTGTAGAAGTCTATAACCTGACGTCGGACCCGCATCAGCTGGAGAACATCGTGAAGAAGGTGGATCCCTCCATCCTGCAGATCATGAACCAGCGGCTCATAAAGCTCCAGTCCTGCGTGAGTGACAGCTGCCGGGATTACAAGCAAAAATAAGATCGCCAAAGAAGCTGCCAAATGATGACCACACCAAAGTCTGAAAGGAGGGTGGGATCAGTTTGTCCAAATTTTTACATATATGAGATGAGATTCTGACAGGAAAAAAAAACATGGTTGACAAATAAAGTGACTGGTGGCTGTATTCCACTTAACTGTGTCAGTTTCAGGGGTCCAGAGTCATTACTTTCGTTTGGAAATTTGCTCTTTTGACAACAGGGACACAAATTATGCAACTTGTTTATATATATATATATATATATATATGAAGCCACCACTAGAAGTTTGGTTAGTTTAGCCTGTATATTGGGGAAGACAGCTTGCCTGCGTGCAATGATAACGCAATCAACATTTTGTACTATATACCAGTAAATAGAGATGGATTGACATATCTAGTAAACACTGATATCAGCCAGTATCGACCTTGTTGATTGTTATCAGCGTGTGCACGCATTTGCACTAAATGTTCAAACATTTAAAAATCTAAAAGACTTGTCAATTTTTTTTATATGATGTCCAACATAAAAAGCAAGAAAAAAGACAACAAAATAAACCTTACCCAGTCGTTATCAGATATCGGTCAAAATGTTGGATTAAACATCAATACAGGAAAAGGGTTCACAGTTGGTGTATTATCAGTGTACTTTTCCTTTTACGAGTCAAAATTTCTGCCGTCTTTCTGAGCCACACTCATTTATCTTCTCTTGTAAGTTTACTTTTGTTTTTCAAAGGCGCCACATGTAAGCTCAGTGTTATGGCATTCCTCTACCTCTCCATCAAGTCTCTGCAGTGAAATGGTAGACCTTATTCTTCACTCTTGGTGATCTGCTGGAAGTTGGAGGAACATCCTTACCAAAATTGGCAGCTGGTGGAGAACTGGCTTATCTACTGCTATGCCAGGCTCACCAAGACTGCAGATTGCAAGGACTAAGTCCAGGTTTTGGAGAGACTCAGTGGCCAGTCTTCAATTAGAAAAATGTTAGATGGGAAAGAGTTAGCTGCTTAGCAGTGTCTGAAATTCCCATATAAAATACTTGCGTAAAGCACCTCTAAGATAACCTTCTTTCCCCATGCTGTCATGTGTTTGTGTATAAACTGCAATTTTCAGGCATAGTCAGTGTCTTCTGAACATTTCACCATTCTCAGAAACACAAAATGTTTGATTCTTCTTCTGACTTTGATTGTGAGCAGTTCAGAGAAAGGTTTACTGCTACACTGAAACTGTGACTCATCATCATCATCGTTTTTGAAGAGTTGGTTTAACATTCTGGGGTTTCATTTAAATGCTTTCCATGAGTTGGATGAAGGGATTAATATGACTTAACTTTTTTTTTTTCATTCAGTATAAACATACCACCAATTATTAGTTAGCCAGCACAGATAATTTAAGCAACTGCGTGTCAGTAGGTTTACACATGGTTATGCTAATCTGACCAAACCAAAAGCTGTTTCTAACTGTATAATGTGGAGATGTATTGTGTCAATATTCTTTTTTGTTTTTGTTCATTTTGCTTTTTTTTTTTCTTTTTTTTTGTGGCAAAAGCTTAGTTTCCATAAAAGATCTTTGTACTCTCATAACTATCTCTGCAACCCTTTCAATGAAAGACAACAAAGTCTGAAATGTTCACCATGTCCTGTAATCCAGTATAACAGTTTATTTTCAGTATTGTGCCTCAGATGTGAAGAAGGAACTCGGCTTTTAAAAAACTGAACTCTTTATTACCAAGAGCTTTTTTTTAATTGGTAGCAGGAACACATGCTGATATTTTTCATGTTTTCTTATTGCAAGGAATCTATTAAGGGAACTTTTGCACAGTGATGTTTAAGATGAACACTTTAATCCTGTTAGCCTTATGTTCGCACTGATGAGGTGCATGTGCCTTTAAAATGTGAACAAATCTGTACTGTGATGAAACTGATTAAATTAAATGAAACATTTAAATGCACTTTTTTGTAGGTTTCCTTCTTAATGTGACGTTATGGTAGGTTCAAGTCAATTTCCTTGGGGGAAAAAGTGTACATTTTATAGCTGGCCTAGGTGGCCAGCTGAAATTCCCCTCCAGGTTTATCAGGTAATTCCTAAAACCTGACAAAGTGTTTTGATCAGCTCGTCAGAGGTGTGTCAGGTAGAGTTACCTGTGCTTACACCAAGGTTGACATTTGGCATAACTGAGCGCTGATTCTTTTCTTAGCCTGGCTACAGAACTGAAAATAAACCTGGGGCTATTCTCCCTTTACTTATGTTAGTTTCAGTAAGATGTCCTAGTTTTGCAGAGGACTTTTTAAAAAGACTTTAACATTACACCTTAAATGCACATTTGTGAGTTATACAAGTCAGTCAAGCATCTCTGATGTGTTGCCTTATTTCACACAGTGAAGATGGAACACCATTAGCAAGATAATCAACCTTTGAGATTTAAGTTCAGGTAGTGTTGTGTTAGCATGTGGCTTTGGAGGTCATAATAGAAGAGGAATTAATTAAAGACTCTGGATTGAAAACTAATGAGACATGTTTCTAAAGACTGTAGTCTAAAACAAGACCAACCACTAGAACCCTGCAGAGGACTGGACTATGAAGCTGAAGACCAAGAAAAACTTCACCACAGAGGAGGCATCTTGAAGCCAGATGGAAGTATGCCAAATACAAACTGAGAAATATTATACATACTGGAAGCACATCCTTTGGTCAGATGAGAAAAAACTAGAGCTCTGACCTATTTTTTCTGTTTTTTGTGAAATAATTTTGTTTCTGTGTGCAAATTAAAATAATTTAATCATCAAAAAAGATTTTTTTAAAAAAGGTCAGATCGCTTTGTCGTCTGCAAACATCACATTCCATAGAGGCTCGGCCTGACCTCATCTGTCAACCTGTCATTCAGCATTGCAAACATGAAGGGACTCAGAGCCATCCCTGATATCTCTGTAATCTCACCCCGACTATGAACCCCTCTGTCACTCCTACTCCACACCTCATCTAACGATCATGTAACGAACGACCAAATGATCTTGAAAAGAAAGCAAAAAATGCAACATCATTCTTTAAAAAGATATGGATGGATGGTGGCGTTTCCATTGCTGAAAAACAACCCACTCATGGTAGAAATGTTTCTTCATAGGATAAAGGTGATCAGATCGACACTCTCCTTTAAAAGGAGAGGTGAATCCAAATCACGACAACAACATTGCCACACAGCATCCCAGAGCTCTGGATTAGAGGTTCAAGTATTTCTTTTGTCACCTGTCTGTAAATCTGCTGATGACACAGTGTTTGATGTGTTTTCACATTTTAAATACTCAATAAATATGTGCAGTTATGTCAATTTCCTTTGCAAACCAGCACTATAAAGTATCTCTTAGAATTCAAAGTTTTGGTCATTTATTTAACTTCAGGAACAAAAATTGATGAGCATTTTGTAGAAAATGCAACAGGTTTCACCAGCTAATTTTATAACAACAGTGATCTCCTCTCTCCTAACTTAAAACCCTTTTGAGGACATAAATAAAACAAATATTTGAAATCTGCTCATTCATTTTTCAAAAATCAAAAAGGTAGAAACTGTTAGCACATCTACTATCTACAGAGAAAAAGATTACGGACAGTTTAATCAGAGGTACTTGTACACAATCTTATCCTGCAGGGTCTGAATCTCTAACTTGACAGGGCATTTGTAAAAGTGTGACAGCAGTGACTCTGTATAGCCAATCAGGAAGTAAAACTTCTGTGGTGGTAACTTCTGTAGCATCACTGCGCACACATTCAGCAAATTGCCACGCCTTTTGATGACAATCTCATTGGCCAGGCACCCGTGGAACGTCCCAAACATGAACCTCCGAATGAAGACATCTTCTACAGTGCGTTCAGCTGCCCCATCTTCTCCTTTGAGGTTACCTATCAGCAAGAGAGAAAAGAAACTGGAGCTGTCATGAAAGATTAAGAGGAATTTGGACTGAATTACACATTAGCTGCGGCTGATGGACAAAGATGTGCAAACGAAAAGATCACTGCCTCTTCAGCAAAATATTTATTAATAAGGCTCACAGTCACATTAAACAATATAAATCTTATTTTAAGTTTATTTACCATGTTTAATATTATGTTTAGAGATATAGTTGAAAAGTTTAATATTTATCTTTAGGTCTTAATTTTGCCTAAATTGTGCATTTTCTGTAATAAACTGCAAACACCATATACAGACACTGAAAAGTATCAAAAGACAGAGCAGAGTTTGATCAAGTCTAAAAAGATTATAAAATGAAACCACTAGTTGCTGCTGTCTGGCCGTGGAGAGCACAAACATCATGACTCTATAAATTGTTTCCGACAGAATGAAATGAACAGCAGCCTGACGTGCAGCAGATAAAAGCTGTGTGCTCGGCCTCACTTCAATAATCTGAGCTGGACCTGTCCTGTTCGTGTTGCAGTTTTGATGAGTGAAATTCTATTATTTTATTGCTCTGTTGTTTAGCATGTGTATGGTAATTAACAGACTAATACGATAAATTCTGGTTCCAAAAAGCCAACTGGGCTGCAAGCAAAATACTAACAGGGAGGCTTTAAAATGCACAGTGTAGAACCAACAGGTGATGTCACAGCGGCTACATCCATTGGTTTTCTTTATAGACCATCAAGTCAAAAAGAGTTTTGATAAGTCAAAAATCAGCTGTCTCTCCAGCGAGTCTCTCATCTCATGGTCAGACAGACCCAAACCTCATAGTTTGAGAACAGTTAGAGATGGTGGTTCTCGTTCTTCTACGCAGCCTAATCAGTTCTCCACTTGCTGCAATTTCTAGTTCAAGCTTCCAGCAAATCTCCACAGAAGAACAAGAACTGCTGATCTCCCCATTGTATCCAACTGCAGGATGAGAGACTAACTGGAGAGCCTCAGCAGTGGGTGAAGCACTGGGTCTTGCCAGCTTTACTCTTTGAAGGTGCTTGATTGCTGTGGTTCTCTTGAACAGATAAAAATATTTAATCAAATGCTAAAATGAGTTTTGACTTGGAAAATGTGTTGGACACACTTTGAAAACATGGAAATGTTTCCCAGTGTCATTGTGTGGATGGCCTGTGCACAACACTTTAAGTCTGTGGCACAGGAGCATTCAAGCTAAAGTGCATAGTTTGGTTGGACTCAGTGATGATTGGTATGTAGTCTGAGAGCTATCCACACCAATGACTGCTTCCATAAAAATCACAGAGTTAACTAATTCATGACCAAATATGTGAGAGGACAGTGTGCATAAAATTAAATGTGCTCAATCTCAGTCATGCTCACTGGTGTGCTGTGACAGCCATCCTTTGCGGTGGCCAATGTGGTGAGGATGATGCGCTTGCTCATAGGTCACAGGTTTGTCTCCTTTCCCTACTCGGATACGAGCGGCTCGATTCTGTAAAAGAGAAAGACAAAAGGGCACCTCTTGGGTATATTTGGAGAAAACACTATCAGACCCATTGAAAGTTAATAATCTATAACAACCTAACAGCCTTTGTAAAAGCAACAAAAAACCTCAAATTACTATTTTTTTTTTTTTTAATGGTTGTGACCTCTGAACTACTCTGACTGTGGCTCTGGTAAAGTATCAGAATACTTCAGGTGATACAGCAGCAGGTTTATAAAAAGTCAAATAGGAAATAGGCATTTGGACAGTGTGTATCTTTCACTCTAAATTATTGTATGGGGATGTAAACAAATTTGTTAAAGTATGTTTACGAACACAAAATTAATATATACAAAATACAATACTATTCCCATAAAAGTAAATACTGCCCAGAGAGGGAGCTGCCTCGGGAGAGATATGTGCCCTCCAAGTGCTTTATCATTATGTTCTACATCTGCAACCATACTTATTTAGACTTTATTTTATTTTATTTCATCATCCCTGTGTTTAAATCAAAATGAGCACAGATGTAACAATATAGTGTGTGAAAGTTAAAAAGATAAACACTATGTTAAACAGTTAGTGTTGCTGATACAACAGCCCTGAGACGGTCAAGGCCGCTTACCTTGCAGCACGACACAGTAACATGGAGGCCCCTGCTTCCAGAGAAGCTGCACAATGAGCTGGACCAAGCTAAGGCGCTCTGCGAAACAGGTAATGTTGTGAGAGTGAAAACCAGTGAGTAAATATTGAATTGATGGTCAGAAATCATTTCAAAAGCAAAAAGGTACATCTGGCTTCTCCCTTATTTCTCAATGGGGATGTCAAAGCATGTGGCTCAGCATGTTTGACTTAGCAAAGATAAGCTGGAAGTCCTTGCTGATGCAACACTCCTACTTAGCAGGAAGAGGTGTTGGGCAAGACGAGGCTTTGTAAAACACTGAAATGTCTGAAGCAATTGTGCTTGAATTGTAATACCTAGTGACCACTTTGGCAGTCATTACATCTGCTAATGCTAGTCTGTGAAACAATCATGCATGCTAGCATTGGACAAACAAGAATACTTACTAAAACGAATAACTTATTACTACAAATAATTATAATCAAGACATGTTTTGGAGAAATATCTGTACAAAAATTAATATTTGGATCATGACAGCAAGCTGTGAATGTAGTGAACAGTGTGTTTCAGCGAATTTTATTTTCTTCCTGTGTTAACATGCAGAGGCTGTTTCAGTTGCTTAATAATGTAGTGCAAAATATTTTAAACCAAGTTAAGAAAGGAAAATACAAGGAATGGAGATTTTCACTCAGGCTCTCAGGTCTAACATCAGTGTCTGATCTCATTAATGCTCTTCTTGATAAATGGTCAATTATTTCCACAGACTGCCTCCCAAGTCTTGTAGGAAGCTGATTTTGCTGCAGAGGTGGAGCAACTCTCCACTAATGCTTATGGATTTAGCGTGGGATATCATGGAAGCTCCTGTGGGTGTAATGTGCAGGTGGCAAAACACTTTTGTCCATATAATGCATTTCTTTAACACAGTGCACAGATGTCTTGGACATAGTGTCAGAGATGTTGTATGGTTAAATCACAGCTAGTCTAAACTAGTGGGCTGTCTTGTGAATCATTCCTATTGCAAATTGTTTTAAAGTTGTGTAGTAACGAGTTGTTAAAAGGTATTTGTCGACATCTTAGTTGCCGTTCTTAGTATTCATAATGCAGTTTCAGATATTTCGATAAGGCAAAAGGCTGTTATAGATGTTTCCATGTTTGATAATTCAGGTTCGTAGTGCCACAAACAAACACGCTTGGCTTCTGTGGTCATACAACGCAGTAGTAACAAACTGACACAAACGTTTGTTACATGTCTGAAATTTTTGCTATTTATCACAGAAACTTAGGCAGCCAAGAGCAAGTTAGCTAACCCCTAGCTTAAAATTGTTTATATATATATATAAAGCCTTAACCAAACGTGACGCTAAATTAATGGGTGCACGCCGATAGCTACACGGTCAACAAGACTTCATGGAAATTAAGTAAATGTTACGGTTTAAAATGACTTTCTTACCAGCACCCTCACGTTTCCTAAGCTGCTCAAGGACGCCGCCATGTTTTATTCAAATAATTAACTCGTGGTACTAAACTACAACACAGCAGTCACTCTGTTTATTACTGTATAAATAGCCGGAGCTTTTCGAAAGCTCGGTAATAATTATAAGACGTAAAAATAACAAAATTAACGTTTCTATACTGCACTTGAGCTGTATACTGGAACTGTTTTTCTCCACAGGCAGTTTCCACAAGTTTCCACCGGACAACTATTAACCTGAACCAACCGGAAAGAGGGAAAATAAAAGTTTTAAGATAGTAAAAGATGAGTGATATTTTAGAATCAGAATCAGAATCTTTATTGACATTGTGCTTTAAGAACAACGAAAATTGTATGCAAACACACAGTTTAATTTACAGTTTAATTGCAAAGTTTTTCCTCACAACATGTTCTCGTACGAATTGTTATTTAAAGCAAGTTAAAATTCCTATTTTTAACAGATGCATTTTAAAATATACATTTTGTTACCTAATATGTACTCTTTAGTTTTTCTTTTAATTTAACCATAGTCATTCTTTTAATTATTAATGATTAATTTGCTTTAAACATTAATATTATTATTGTGTATAATATACATTAGTACAAAAAATTGTTTTGCATACTTGAGTAATTTTATAGTTATTATTATGTTTCTGTTATGTATTATCTGTGCTTTATTTAAAAAGAGATTCTTTGAAACTATATACCCTATTTGAAAACATATGTCACTTTTCTTGCGATTATTTGTGTTCGTTTATACTTTTACTTTATTTGTAGTGGGTCCACACTGCAGTGGTTCGCCTAACAAGTGAAGGTCAGCCTAAAGTTGCTTAGCCTATTAAAAAATAAATACATAAATATAAGTCAAGAACTGAAAAGGGGGGATCCTAAATGCGTGATTGTTTAAATTTTGTATGTATTAAAAAATAAATAAATACACAAAACACTACAAATAGCCATAGCTTGTGGGGTTTTTTGTTTGTTTTGTTTTGTTTTGTTTTGTTTTGATACCCGGTATCCGATATTTGTCTGACTGCACACTTATTTTGAAAACGTTGCACCGGAAGTATTTGTATTGTTCTGGAAAGAGGAAAGTAGTTGCTAAGAAGCGTTATCCTACTCGTCCCACTTGTTTCTTGGCAAACTGTCATTATTTTGGTGGGATAAGTATTGGCTTGAATAATTTGAAGACTTGTTGAGAGGAATAAAGATTGAAAGCTGCGATGGCGTCGCCGCTGGAGATGACAGAGATGTACGATAATGCTCTTCTGGGGATCCTGCAGCACGTTGGGAACATTCAGGACTTTCTGCAGGTCTATTTTGGGTTCTTGTACCGCAAGACGGACTTTTATCGCCTGCTGTCGAGTCCCAATGATAAGATGGGTTTTCCTCCAGGTGTGGCAGAGAAGATGGTGCTTAAGGTGAAATTTCTCAACATTTTAACCTGCTAAATGTAAATACCTTGGCAACACACATGACTATGTGTAGTTTGTGCACGTGCATATTATTTACAATCACAGGTTAAAAATTAAACTGTTATAATGTTACGTACACTTTTGTGGTCCTCGAGTTTCTTAGACTGCAGTGATTCGTCGATGAATTAACACCTACATAATACAAAATAACTCCTGTGCTTGGTGATAGCCTTGCTGTCTATATGAGCCACAGACCTATAGCAATACATTTGTTATTGCCCTAAGACTGGTGAAGGTTAGATCCTAATCTAGAGTTGTCTGCCTCTCAAATGATGATAAGCGATAACCTTTAAATCTTTCCTCAGACATTTAAGTTATTCGAGAAGCTGGCGGAGCACGACAGAGAGAGAGCAGTGAGCAATCTGAAGAAGAGAGAGGAGACTAGGTATGTTCCTCCTGCAGTTCAGGAGCTGGAGGTTGCTTCTGAGCCTTGTGATGAAACCAAGCAGCAGAGTACAGAGGCGGTGCAGATGGAGAACTCCCCCTCACGTTCTGGGGATGTTTCAGCTCCAGCAGCCTCAGGCACATCCGTCTGCTCTCAGCAGGATAGCAGCAGCAGTTCAGCAATTTGTGAAGATCAAGCAGCTGCAGCCAACTCGAAATCCAAAGCAGGGTGAGTAGCTACAGGCGTTTTTTAACCTTTGAAGCATCTGTTGTTTTAAATATGGTCCAACATAAACATTACTCTGCACATTACAGTGTTTCAGTAAATGCACTTGTCAAGGTCAATTTTAGGCCTTAAAATGACTTTGTGACGGGATGCAGACTTTGGTGAAGGTTAGTTGCAGGTTCTGTTGCAGGGCTAACGCAGAGAGACAGACAACCACTGCACTAACATTCACACCTAAAGGCAATTTATAATCACTAGTTAACCTAACCCTGCCCCTGTCTCTGGGCTGTGGGAGGAAGCCAGAGTACCTGGAGAGAACCCAGGCAGAAACAAGGAGAACATGGAAAATATTTATATTTATAAACTAAGACAGAAAATGTTCACTGCTAACCAACCTAGTTCTGCTGTACTTTTCTGTACTATATTGCCAGAAGTATTCACTCACCCATCTAAATAATGGAATTCAGGTACTCCAATCACTTCCATGGCGACCAGTGTATAAAGTCAAGCACCTATGCATGCAGACTGCTTCTACAAACATTTAGGAGCTCAGTGAATTCCAGCATGGTTCCATGATAGGATGTCTCCTGTTCAACAAGTCCAGTTGTGAATTTTCATCGCTACTAAATATTCCACAGTCAACTGTTAGTGATATTATAACAAAGTGGAAGCAATTGGAAATGACAGTAACTCAGCCACAAAGTGGTAGGCCATGTAAAATCACAGGAACAGGGATCAGCAGATGCTGAGGTGCATAGTGTGCTGAGGTGGAGTCAATCGCTACAGAACTCGAAACTTTACGTGACCTTCAGTTTAGCTCAAGAACAGTGCATAAACACACTCCTAAATCTTGTGTTATAGCTGCAAAGGATGAGCCAATATCATACCAATATCATACTTATACATATGAAGGGTGACAAGTGAATATTTCTGGAAATATAATGTATAACCACTCTGCACTGTGTGCGAGCAATGCTATGTGCAGACTAAAGTGCCTCAAATTTCAGCAATTTTGAAAAAGACAGAGGAGAAGGAATACGTGCCTCGATATTGGATGAAGTGATGTGTATAGGATATGGAATGGACAACTGTGTGATGTACTATATGAAAACAGTGAGATGGGAAAACAGAAAAAATATGTGTGAACTCTCTGTTGTATTTGGAAAGTTTAGTGACTACATGTACTAGACTTGAGGCCTAGCAGCCACAAAACTCCAAAATATTTTAACTCCTCCATTTGTAGCAGCAACTTGTACACAACCTGTAGGGGCTACTCTACCCTTTTCTATTCAAGGGCTGTGGCCTTGGACTTCAAGTTGCTAAATTTCATCCCATCCACTTCATACTTGGACTGGAAGCTGGTTCATTGCGACCTTAAGGTCATCTTGATGAAATCAACAGAAAGACAGCTTTCAAAAGAAGTAGAAGTAGAACCAGACACCTGGCTCTGCTGCAGTATTGTTGAGTTCTCACAATAACAGTGTGATGTCAAGTCTTGTAATCAGTAAGCACATATCCCATCAACAAGTGACACTGGATCTCAGCCTCTGCTTCACTCTTAGGTGGAAACTTCCTGTGAAGTTTGAAGGTGTTTATTTTTTGTTTGTTTTGTTTTGTTTTCGGGGAGACAACAAAACTAAAATTACTATTTTGGATTTGTTAGACTTGTATTAAATTTATTAAATTAAATTTTGTATGGGTGTGCAGGATTCCCACCAGCTTAACAGTGGTTCTTACTTAACTTTGAATTTTGTGTTTCAGAAGTCAAGAAAACTTCCAGTCCAATCCCGACAGTTACAATGGGGCAGTGAGGGAAAATTACAGCTGGTCTCAGGATTACATGGATGTGGAGGTCCGCGTGTTTGTGCCCAAGACGGTTGTTAAAGGCAGACAGGTGAATGCAGGTCTATTTAACTATGTGAGACACCAGTAATACTTTTTTATAACACTTTACTTATTGTAACTGTGTTCACGGCCCACAGGTCAGTGTTAGTCTGCAGACCAGTGGCGTGAGAGTATGTGTGAGGGATGGAGCCGAAGAGAAGACACTGATGGAGGGTGAATTCACTTACAAGATCAACACTGAAAACTCTCTGTGGAGTCTGGAACCTGGACACTGTGTGGTTGTGAGTACACATAAGCATTATCTAATTTTTGTAATAACAACAAGAACACTCCTGAAGAAAATGTGGCAATGAGTGCACCTTCTGCTATTTGAGTTATCAGAACATGAACTAACAAGAGGGATTAACACCTATCAGGAGCTAACATCTGGTTTTATGGTGGTAAAAAGAAGAAAGAAGGTCACTGGCTTGACTGGCCTGACTACTGGCTCATAAGAGGTTGTCATAGCTGTTCCAGAACCAGAACTTGCTTCAAAGCTGATCAGCGAAATCTTAAAAGCAATTGTAAAACACAAAGCCAAGCCAGGAGAGAGGAGGCGAAAGTAAAGTAAAAAGTAAAACAGGAGCTACAGTCCAACTTTTCTGTACACCGAAGGTGACAAGAGCTGTAGATGATGAATAATGTGGTGATCGAAGACAAAATCTAATTTTGTTCATGTTAATGACTATTAAATTACTTATCTTTGTGTAAGATATTGTTCTTTCCCTGTGGGGATATTAAGTTAATGTCATGTACAGGAACACTAGACTCTACAGAGACTCTACGTTGCATAATGGGATGTTTTCATTTAATGTTTAGTTTAGAAAGAGTTAATGCTCTCTAGTGCTTGGAATAACAGGATAAGTGTAAAAATGAGTTCTGCTCTCAAAAAAGTAATTTTATCAAAAGCCAGTGTTGGCTTTTCAAAGATTGTCTAACATATTTGAATTGAACATCCTGTCTCTGAATTACAGTTGTCACTGAACAAGACATCAGAGGTTTGGTGGAATGCGGTGCTCAAAGGCGAAAAGGAGATTGATATAAACCAAATTAACCGTGAGCGTTCCATGGCATCAGTGGATGAGGAGGAGCATGCTGTTCTGGACAGGCTCACATTTGACTACCACCAGAAGCTGCAGGGAAAGCCACAAAGTCACGAATTGGTAAGGAGCAAATTAAAAAATAACACAAACTATTCATTACACACACACACACACAGGCTATATCTATATTATCTATATCTATGTTATTTCTGTAAAATAAAAACGTTTATCTTATAAATCTGCTTAAATGATATTCAGTTATTGAGTCAAGTCCTTAAAACCTATTCTGACAAATATAGTTGGAAGTCACTGCTGTAGTGCACCTGGGTTGTGTGTGAATTGTGAGGATGTTTGTTAGCATAAAAGATACATGCATAACATATCTGTGTCCATGTTTCTTTGCAGAAAGTGCATGAGATGCTGAAGAAGGGATGGGATGCTGAAGGGTCACCTTTCAAAGGGCAGGACTTTGACCCATCTATGTTTGACATCCCACCGAGTGCCGTGCAGTTCTGACATGCCACAAAACCTCAGCCAAACATGAACTGAAGCATCTCCATTTAAAGAGCTCATGGCAGCAGAGGCAACACTTATTAACAGCTTTGAAATGCTGGAATGATGGAAGTTTGTCCCTAATAAAAGAAGCTGCATATTTGTTGAGATTGGTGGGAAGGGAATATTTCTATATTCTGACAGTGATGAGTCATTAAATTGAAGCTGATATGTACTATTGTACACTGTTTGACTCTTGATTCAACTCTGCAGTGCCTATGTGTTATCTGCCCTACTGATTCTGTTTTTATTTCAAACTGTGATGCTTACCTGCTGGTTTGCTGGTTCGGCTTCCTTGCTCTGCTGTTAATGACTAAAAAAAAAAAAAAAAAACAAGAATTAAAAAAAACATTTAACAATTTACAAATAAATATGAAAAAGGGTTTTCTGAACTCCTTGAGTCCACGCCACTCTTTGGATAAGAGAATTTTTTATACATACAGTACACATCAAAATCATACAGTGTTGTTAAAATACATCATACGTTTTACAGTTTTATTACATTTAACTTACATATGTGAAAGCATAATCATAACTATTATAATCTTTAAAATAAATGTCAAATAAAATCAGACAGCTTCATTTAAACTTAACTTATTTAAATGATTTAACTACTACTTCAGTAGGTAGGACTGCCTTGGATTTTAAACCCTGATGGTGGTGATGAAGATGGCGGCTTGGATGAAACTGAGCAACGTGGGAGATGTGGAGAAGGTGGATTGTGCAAAGGAGTCTGAAAGGGACAGTGAGCAGTGAGAGTTAAAATAAGTGGCATGGAGGCTGATTGGTTTAAAGATGGCGGCAGAAAGACGATTGGACTAGAATGATGACATCAGCATTGAGTTTTACAGCATGGGGAAAGTGGAAGTGTTGAAAAGCATAGACTAGCAGACAGTGTGATTACAGATGTGTTGAACATGCACATTAAGCTTAGGGATGCATTACTTTAACTTGAGGCTTAAAGGTTCATAGGCTCATAACATTTACAGATATTAAGGCATTTTATCTTACTGATGTTTCAGTTTTCTGAAATTACTGACCAATGATAACCCGAGATAGCTAACGTTAATACATGCCTTCAACTGATATCTACAGTACCTGCAACGTAGACATCAGCTGTGTGATGCTATCATGTCAACATGGACTAAAATCTCTGAGGATTGCTTCCAGCATGTTCAGTCTATGATGAAGAGTTAAGGCTGCTCTCTGGGCAAAATGTGGTCCAAACTGGTACTGGCAAGCTGCATCAGTAAAGTATACTAATGTTGTGGCCAGCTTCAGCTGGAGGTGATTTGACCTATTCTGTACAATACTGTGCAGCAAAAGTCTTAAGCCACCCCTTATTTCTTTATATTTTGATAGAACGGTGGGAAATAGCTGCAGCAATTTATTGAAATGAGCAAATATATGTGGATATATATTAAATAGGGGGAAAAAACAGAGTTTTTAGAATTCTGATGTGCTTGAAAGTCAATATTTAGTATGATCACCTTTATTTTTCAATTCTCTCTGCATGGCACATCAAAATCTGACAGTACTGTTCTGTGTTCAAAATTCTATTAATTTTGACAAAATCCCCAACACCACCAGTTGATATGAAGCCCCAAAGAGGCTGAAAGAGTCTCCACTGTGTTATACAGAGTACTCAGTGTTATACCTCTCTCCTGACCTTCATACATAATCTGTATGTATTATTGTTAGGTCTGCTCTGAGCACCTTGAGGCAACTGTTGTTGTGATTTGGCACTGTATAAATAAAATTAAAATTTAATTGAATAATAATTCAGATTCATTACTCAATGAGACCTATTACAACTGATTTTCAGTCCAGTTCTTGTGTAATATTAGATATGCAATAGCTCAGCCTTTACTCCCCATTTCCCTTTCTTAAAAATTGCTCTTTGATAGCCACCCTTCCATTGAAACCATTTCTAATAAGACTTCAGTAAACAGCAGATGGATTAGCAGAAGTGCCAGAAGGATCTAAAATGTCCTGTGTCTGGTCAATGCTGTAATTTTTCCTATTTATTAATGTTATGACTTCAAGGTATTGTCCATCTGCTGCTTCACTTTTCTCCTATAATTTTTTTTAAAGAGACATTGCACACCACATCAACATATGCAAGGGTTTAGGCTAATCACACTCTGGGAATTATCTTGTTGGTGCAAAAATACTATTGTATGCCATATCAATCTGTTACTGTTGGCATGTTTTTGTATATTCAACTAAAGAAATTGCAACAAATTATGTGTTTTGTGACAAGCTGCTGTATAAAACCCAAAGACACAGTTTAGAATGGATTCTTTGCAACTTTTGGTCCATTCTTTCAGTTATGTGTCTTTTTAACTAAGAATGATCCATAGGTCAGTGTTAAGTGGCTTAACAAACAAAATAGAATTGTTCTAAAAAAAAATTCTCATTAGCACTTTAAATAATTACAAGTAAACCTGTCTCCTTGGAAGTGTGGGTTAGGAGTAGTGAGGAGTGGCTTAAGACTTTTGCAGAGTACTATACAGTAATGTTTTCCACATTGATTTGTACTGTAATGTTTTCTACTGTTATCAATGCATCATTCATCAATGATAACATGTTAGAAAACTTATATATATATATATATATTCTATATATACAGAATATAATATATACTGATATATATTTTGTAACAAATCTATTAAAGTGGTTTTTATTAAATCTCAATAGTAATAAGCTGATAAAAGTGTGAATTTTATTAATAATTTCATTTATGTTAATTATTTGTAAAACTTATTTATGTGCTTGTGTCATGGGTATGGGTCTTGAGCCAGTGCTTTATGTTTAGAGTGTTGAATCTTGTAAATTATTTATTGTTTTGAGTTCTCTGTTTGCCAGGCTTCCTGTTTTATTTTGATAGTCCCTCATCTCTTGTGCATTTGGTTCACTTTGCTTCCCTTGCCTCCTTATGTCTAATTTGTTCCTGCTGTGTTCCCCAGATGTCTCCACTCTCCTAATCTTCCTCTTGTGTATATATTGGTCGTGTCCAAATTCATGGGCTGCATCCTCCTGAGGCCGCATTTGTAGACCGATTACGTCACAGCGACGGGCC